CCTCCCTCCCTCCCTCCCTCCCTTCCCCGCTTTCAACCCCGATTCGTCCCTCTTCCTTTCAGATCGGTTTCACGATTGAAGGCAGGGATGATGCGGAGCTTCCTGAAGTCATGCTCGCGGTTGCTCGCTTTAACTACATCGATGTTACCAGGGCCTATGATTTAGTGTGAGCCCCGCCCTTTGGCCGCGTAGATGCTAACAAAGCGCTCGAAGGGAGTGCGTGTCCGAAGGTGTTTCAGTCTTTGCATCGCTGACTTGAGTCGAAAGGGGGGAAAAGTCGTTTTCTTTGGGAAAGATTTCGCCGGACGCGTGCGAGAAGAGGAGCCGTTGGGGACTCGGTGCCCCCTGCCCGGGACGACGGATCACGATGCATGAGGCTTGGCCGAGGACTATCAGACACGATACACCATCAACTTTGGAGTAGTTGAGAAAATTTAGATGTCCCTTACATATGTACAGATATACACATATACACGGCAGGGGTCCCGGGGTCCGATTGAAATGAGCACGCCACGAGAGAAGTAAAAGATGAGGACTGTATTTGAAGCAATAGACGTAGGCTTTGTGGACATGGGAGTCGACGAACAATGCGGATGAGCAGTGGGATATGGAAGATAGAGACGTACCGTGTCTTTTCAAAGAAATTGTCGACCGTCGCTTTGTCGGTAAAGGGCGGATGATATTTAGATTTTATAATAATGGAGTCATATGATTGTATCGTTGGTTTTCGCCTTCGGGCTGATATGAAACTCTACGCTCCAGACACAACATAGACGTTCCCACCGATGCCGACATTCGTCTATTTCCCTTCACACAGCAGGATCTTCAGGCGATCTTCGTTGTTATTGGTCTTTCATCCAAAAATGAGATGACCTTGGTCCAACTATCGAAGGTTCGAGGGCTTCAAAATTAAACGTTTCGTTCATTTTCTCCCCCAAAAAAAAACAGCTTTACTTGACATTCATGACAGCGCAAGGCATATCCCCTTTTAATATCAATGGCGGATTGCTTTGTGAATCAATCTAGATAAAAAATGGTTTGCCGAGTGCTCTTAAAGGTAGAATATAGGCGGCAACTATCAGAAAAGTGGGGTGTTCGGTGGCGACAGATAGAAGATAACTCAATTTTCGGCGTGCGCTGGGGGCGGCGGAGGGTCCTCTCGATATTGTAGGCTACCCGGAAAC